GGAGGGTCCACGCCTCCTGCTGCCGGACTGGGGGGGGGGTGCCCAGTACGCACGTGATGTCCACGATGAGATGTGACCTAACGTATATATGTCATAGATATATGTGTATGTGTAATTATGTACTACTTATGGCCCGTCCTATCTGAGAGACTGCATGCGAATAAACCTCCGCCAGGAGACCTGCAGGCTGGGCGCCGTACCTCTTTTAAGCACGAGCCAGGGCGATAAATATTTATTGGGCGAATCTTAGCTTGGGTAGTCCGGCCCCATTTTAAAATATATGTTTAAAATCAAAATACTGCCATGCATTCAGTCAGCTACTGCGATGCGCGAACCCTAATTTTGCGACCTATTTAGCTATAGGAAAATACTAGAATTACTGTTAATTACAGGCGGTAAATATACTGGCGTTATTACATATAGATATTCAATGCGAGGCACGTGATCTGTCTACATTTTCGTACAATTTGTGTAGAAATTTTCTTGCCGTATGCGTAGGGCATAACTTTTTGCAAATAATAATACATCTTAGGTGAATATAGATAACTAGACATGGGCGGATCCAACCAGAGTAACATTGATAGTAGAATTCAGTTATGGGTGACGAGATTTTAAGCACAGTAACACTGATGGCAGCTTCCTGGTAGAGTATGCAACTGGAAAACATCTTCCGATTTGTTCCGTTCTATAAACATTTGGCAGATTCGTTCATAGTCAATATACATGTTGTGGTTTATGTTCATCACTGTGAGACCAGACAGTCGATCTTCCCCATCCTGTTGCGTAGATAGGTTTTTACACGTCGCAGACAGGAGAAAGAGCGCTCTGTCTCGCAACTTCCAACAGGTAGAGTACAACCAACCTTCAACAGGGTGCGGATGTTTGGGAAAATGTTGATGTCAGCATGCTCCAGACACTCAGACAAGTTTGGCAAGGGTGAATACTGTTGAATAATTGCCTCCCGCCTCTCTCGCTCTCTCTCTCTGTCTCGCTCTCTCTCTCTTTCTCTCTCTCTTTCTCTCTCTCTCTCTCGCTCTCTCGCTCTCTCGCTCTGTCTCTCTCTCTCTCTCTCGCTCTGTGTCTTTAGCGCTCGCCTTCTCTCGCTCTCGCGCTTTCTCTCTCTCTCTCTCTCTCTTTCTCTCTCTCTCGGTCCCCCCATTTTTCCTACGTTCTGTCTGTTTTCTTTAGCGTCGTTTCTTCTTCTTTCTGCCCACACACACTCTCTCTCTCTAATCGTGGTTCCTCTTTTCCTCACTTCTCCAACACATTTCGCCTCCTCCAAAGTCGTTTACTCGTTTTTTACTTTTTATTCCAAAACTTTTCCTTCCTTCTCAATTTACCAATTTTTCCGTATATCGCATCACTTTCTCTCCCAACTCCTGTTCTCTCCGCTTTTATTTTTGAGGTTTAATTACAACCGAGTTTTACTATTAGTGAGCAAATTATCCCGCGAAGGGGATCCGAATGCTAGATTATATACAGATCGATAGAGTCGCTGAGTGTAAAAGCCACCACACCTTCACACCCACACGCGACTGGCGAAAAACAGGACATCACCTCGCTCATAACACACAACGCACACACACACACACACACACACACACACACACACACACACACACACACACACACACACACACACACACACACACACACACACAAACACAACACACAACACACACACACACACACACACACCACACATAAAATACTGCAGGCGAGAAAGATTGCGGCTGCTACTAGCGCGGCTATGATAGATTATAATTAACGACGTGCCTACGCACGCGCTAGGACGGCTTGATGAATCTAGCTGTGAAACGTTACGTATAGGCATTTCGTAAGATGCCTGCCTATGGACGGTAGCGTACGCACCAATAATAAATATAGCCCATGGGACCCTCATAAATGGCTTTGTACCGATACAGAATAATTTTCTATGAGGTCCTACCGAAATTTTTATATAATTATCAAGGCAACCGATTTTGTTTGAAAACTGCTTCGATCTATTAAAGAAGGGCATGGCCAAGTAGGCCGTTTTTCTTTGATATTTGTTACCCGCCAAGAAAAGCAGCTGATCCCATCACACCAAACGGAAAACCCCGTTCGAAAACCGGTCAACATAGTGAGGTGTTGGTGCGTGGCTACTATACCACGAAACAATGAGATTCCTGGCACTCGTGGTCTCTCGGCCGGTCCTTCGTTGCTAAAGCGCACAGATCTAGCACCTGCTGCTTGAACACTGCGTGCATTGGCAAGCAAACAACTAGCATTCTGGTTTAAACTGGAACTTATCTAAGCCTTTGTTGTGCTATACTCAGTTTAATACGGGGTATATCTTCTCCCTATATATATATATATATATATATATATATATATATATATATGCAGTGCTGCACTGCATGTATAAACCTACTTTTAAGTAGACCTACATCCGTAAAAGCGGGAGAATAATACATATATCACCACACGCTCAAAACAACGATGCACAAAATATGATGCATGATATAATATTATATATATATATATATATGCAAGCGGAAAACGTTATGAAACGTGAAATCCACCGTCTACAGCAGATGATCCACAAGCCAGTTTGATTTATTAGAGTAAAACTGTTTAAACATATATATCAAGAGCTCATAATAGAGAGCGCATAATCTCTATTATGAGCTCTTGATATCAGGGGCGTAAATCCGTACCGAGGAGTGGGGGGATGATCGGCAATATAGCCATCACATAATTGGAATGAAATTGATAGACGGGGGAGAGGGGAAATTAACCTTGGCTGCCGCAGGCAGGCCCGCGTGCCGTAGGCATGCCAGGTCTAGAGGGCCTGGGGCATGCCCCCCCCCAGAAATATTTAAGCCATTTTCCTGCAATCTGAGGCATACTGTGGGCCATATTCTAATGTCTGATGACACTATCTCAACACTAGACTCAACCCTACAAGTTAGGATTCAAAACACTTTTCATGACTTTTCAGAGAGCGTAGGCCTATACACAGTTAGGTTACTATAGTAGTAATACATGTATTAAAACACAGGTAAGAATTGCAATTTCTCACAATTTCACGTGTGCAACCATACCTTTTGGCTATTTGTGAGTCTGGAAACATTTTTTTGAAGAGTTTATTTGTATGGTCTGCCGCACTCAAAGGCACATTGTGTTCAATTAAATAATCCGTAAATCTTACTTCTGCGTCAATACAGACAATTCTCTATCTGCTGCAAAGAAGCATGATATATTGGGTGTAGATTTCACTGCACCCGCATAGAGGTGGATATATATCTCAGGGAGGAGGAATATTTGTACAGGCCATCCCCCTCCTTCAAGAGCGGGAGGATGCATCCCCACCTAGATTTACGCCCCTGCTTGATATATATCCTTCCGCGCTTAATTTGTATTGACGATTTGGAACATGCGCAGTACTATTACATTAGAACGAACGTATAGTTGGATATGGCTATAGTATTTATTACTACGCGATCGCATACTCAATATATGCCCTGTAAATCATATCCTTCTGCTTATCCCCGTCAAAGTATAATTCATACTTTCCACCTTCCTTCTTGAACCCCACCAGCTAATTTTCCACGATTTATACTTGTTATATGTACCCCTATCACGCCTTCTCACTAGAGGGACTTGGCTTGTTGCAATAACAAAATTATGGCGATTGAACACAAATTGTACTCACTTCCAATGTAACACTTCTATATATAGCTTTGCAACACCCAATGTCACAGTAAGCTGCGAGTTTGTGCAATGCAAGACATTGCACAAACTCGCAGAAAAATTTATATATAGGATAGGATCGAGTTTATGCACAGTAGATTATTACGTAGAAATATATATAGACGATGTTATAGTGCCGCTAAGTGCGCCAATTCCACAGACGTTGGTAGTTAATACAATTGTATTTATATTAGCTTGGCTCTACGATTGTGGGGAATGAAGGTTGTGGCGGAGCAGACATGGGCGAAGTGAAGACCTATACACTCGACCGTAGAGCTAATATATTCACTATCATTCTATTATTGCATGGGACTGTATTGATGGGTGCACCGGACTGTGCTCCCCCTCTTATAAAGCAATATGACGTTGGGCCAACGTTGGCAGTATGACGTTGGGCCAACGTTGGCAATATGACGTTGGGCCAACGTTGGCCCAACGATGGCTCAACGTTGGGCCAACGTCGGCTTCCAACGTTGGGCCAACGTCCACCCAACGAGCAAAAATCCGTTGGGCCAACGTTGGCAGCCAACGTTGGCCCAACGTTGGCATGGGCTGAAGACAGCCGTTGGGCCAACGTTGGCCCAACGTCAGCATGTTATCTGGGAAGTGAAGGGGCTACGACATTCATGTTACGTACGCTTACAATCTTCAAGCATTGCAGTGATGAATCTAACCGTAATAAAACCATGAACGCTCGTAAACTACACCACAATAGGAAAAGATATGTATTAAAATATTGTAATAAAATATTTCATTGTAAATATGCTTGTTTTCTGGTTGGAAAATATGCACGATAGGAGAGGGATTACTGTACCTGAGTTGCACTGCTTTGGGATATTATGATACAGGTGTTACAACCTATAAATCATCACCAAGAGTAAGTAGCCTCAACAATACAGAGACTACATAAATGTTGATGCTATTACCTAGCACTTTATAACAATCCCGACTAGTGCAGTCCTTTGGAAATGCTGAAAAGGTAAAAAGAAGAACAAATTACTTATATACTAAATGCAACTATTAATTTACAATAAAGGAGTCAGCTTCAAATACATAATGGCAATTGTTGCATATATATATTTAAAGTAATAAAATACAACTTGTCGAATGTCCAAACAAACAAGCAAGTGGGACATGCTATGGTAACCTATGGAAACATCTGTGGCTGGTATTTACAAACACTTGTTTTAACAAATCTTATACCATTGTTCTGTAACTACTAACTTTAACTTGTAATGTAATGACAATTATAAGATAGTAAAATTAACATGAAAATCAAGATGGTACACCATTCCTACATAGATAATGGTGGCAGCAAGTGTGCAGTACACTGGCTATATGGCTGTACATATGGCTAAAAGACTAGAATGTTGTTTCTGCATACTCGTTTTTCCCCTTGGACTATACTTCCACTTTTCATTTTTAACCTTTAATTTTTAAGGCCGGTTTCTGCAGCACATTACATGCACATTACCGTGACCTCTACATGAATCCATAGAGGCAAATAAATTACAATCTATCATTAAGGATCTTAATGAAATACTCACTGTAGTCAGTAGGAAAGCACATAATATTGGCAATGTCCTTTGGAGAAAAGTAGCTCAACCGTAGTGTGCTGGGTGCAGCACAGGTGCCATGCATTGCCTTGCCCTCGACGATGTGTATACTATCGGTAAAGTCTGACAGCAGAACTGATCCAGTGCCCTCTATGTACCTGCCATAACTGCACACAGCAGAGACATACAAGAACGTTCATGAGAGGCAGAGGAATGAACAACTGATCTCTACATTATGGCATTCATCAACATTTTAAACAAAAATAAATGCATATAACGGCTTTCAGTTAAGAGTAAACTATAAAGTATTAGGGTTTTACTAAATTTAGTAGACAAATGGCTAATAAATCAAACTAAATTATGCACCACGCAAAAGTATGGTGTACTTCAACTACATTTCTTTCTTATTAATTTGTACACTAGTGTTAAATTACACTAGTATAGACCTTGTGCACGTGACGTCATAGCATCATGTTCTATTGTTTCCCCGGCATGTTGGTGATCACCTCATTCTGCTCAGCTGGCTTAGACTGGTACCCGGTCGGCACCGTCACTCCGTGCAGCAGAGACAGGTCCACGTCCAGAGCCTGTCTACAGCTTGATCACCATAGAATTGCTGCGTGAAGAATGCTCAAACAAACTAGATTCTGTTGCTAAACAGCGGTATGTAGTAAAGATTTATTGTGTGGGTGCTGATCATTATGCCATATTGGCATATGTAGGTCAGAGTTTAAATCTGTCCTGGATTGTGAGAGTAAAGAGCTTCCAGATGTAGACAGTAGAGTACCGGTACCCATAATAAATACACACGGTGGATTTTCTGGCCAGTGCACGAAGTGGTACAAGAGTCGTCATTCAGTCAAAGGTAAGTTGCTTTTGGATGTTAGAATATGTGAGGACCATCTTCAATCATTGTCACTGATAATTATATTTACTTAGTTCCTCCCAGCTGTGAGTGCATTAGCACGCAAGCCTGTAAGTCGGGTTGTAACAGTACAGGAACAAGCACTTTTCTTGGGTGAGACGCAGCGTGATACTACTTAAGTCATAGTATTTAATTGTTAAGTATGACTGTGTTGTACTTAATTGTCAAACATCACTTCACAGTATTACAGTAGGCTAACTTAGCATGAAAACGTAGACTCGTGCTAAGAGACCATATTATCTAATAACAAAGGTGTTTCCTGTAACTCTACTACTTGTAATATTTTACTTGAGTAGATATAGGCATTGCCACCAATTTTAGCTGTTCTATCCCATTACTGAATCCTGATCTGTCGCCTAAAATGCTAGTAGTAGTAACTTGAAATTTAGGGATAATCAGGTAATACGTATAATGTATGTTTTTTCACTCAGGTGTGAAGAGCAATAATCCTGTCACAGACTATGTTGCCATCTGTATTCGCGACTTACAGATTCTCCACAAAAATCTGGTTTACTGGCTCGCAGAATCTGCCCGTGAGAGGGAGAACCAGCAGAAAAGGAGAACAAATGAGGCAAGTATGTAGGTGTTACATATGATAGTGTTGGATAATTAAACTTTGACATTAATTTCTGCTGATAGAAATTAAAACAAACTTAAACATGCAAGGGGTTGGCTGATGTTTTTAGATATATTTTGTTTATCACTCACGCAGAAAACTAATCACTAGCCACATTGGCTGTGACAGGCAATGGGTATATATATTAATAATTAGATAGTATAATGATAATATATTTGATATATAATATAATATATATTATTAAATTATTATTTAATATTATTATTATAAATTACCATGTTAACATCTGACAATCTTACCATGACTAAAATATTTAATGATTGCCGAACTAAAATTTTCAGGACCAAGAGATCAAACAGCAGCAGCCAGCCCTATTAACCCGGCTGGAACATCATGGGAGCCCCAGCTTATCAGACCGCATGCTTCGAGCCCAGCACTTCATACACATGCACCACCACCAGCCACATCAGATACACCAAACGAGACCAGTCATCCAACAGCCAATCTGACAGCGGACAAATGTCCCTCCGATTTGTCGATTAGCACAGCCGAAGCTTAAATTGGCATGCCTAGTGAACGTGTACAGTTCTGTTAGAGAGCTGCAAGGGTTGCGTTTGCTGACTTCTTAAAGTGTTCTGTGTTATCCAGTATTGGCCACGTATGGCACTGTTAACACTTGTATTGGTAATATAAATGTGACCCAGTGTCATTATCAGTTATTATTATGTAAGCATGATTCTAATACCAGAACCATATAAAAATGAAATAGGGCGTACATCGACGCGGTTAAAATTTGTGCCATAACTGTTGACCACACTGACGCATGGCACCACGACAATCATGCGATTTCTACAACCTCTAAAAAATAAAGTTTTCTCATTTGAATTTGGTTGGGTTATCACGGAGTTAGCACAGCAAACAATAAAAGTGCACTTGGTAAGCCGCAGTTCCGGTATCAGTACTTGTAGATTATTATATTAAGTCACTGATGATGCAATCTTCGTAGAATGATGCCTTCTCTCCGTTCTGTTGCCCTTGCCACCTCTGGCATCTCTAATTTACAGCTCGTGTTTTCACTCCCAACCACGCTGAAAAACATATTAGCACATGTCACCAATAGCCTTTTGATGGCATTTTCTGATTACTTCTTAAACATTATTTTTGTATAACGATGGTGTGGGTTGATACTTCCTACTTATAAATATGTACATAAGGCACACTCGGCAATCTTTCCTGATTGGAGAAGTCCATTTTCTGGAGGCTGATGATAGTACTACATTGGCATCTTGAGAAATTTGATGGCTGCCCAACCCATGTATTGGGTAGCGGAGATCAGAAGTTGTCTTTCTTCATCTGTAAACACCTGGGAAGATATAGAAAAATATGCTGCTACATTAACTATACCAGTAAAACAATGAATGTTGAACTTGATTAAAGTTAAAAACATAGCATAAAATTGGTTACTAAGAAGGGAAGAATTTTACTATATTTTGATGGGAATTAATTTCCAAATTTGGCTTACTATTATTGCTCACATGTTTAAATATATACTTACCAACTGGTCAATGCCAAGAGTGCCGCAGCTACATGGAAGCATTCTCCGCAAGCCCTGCCATGCAGTTAGATTGGCCGCATACAACACCTCCATCCTTCTCACAAATCACCCACACTTAATTGCAACGGTTCCTCCGAAAGCCTTTGCAAATGCAGCATCTAGGAGAATAAAATGCATCAAAGGAATAAACTGCCGCAGAATCTTTGTAATAGCTGGTAATGATGAAAAAAGAATAGTTAAAATGAAAATGATTACTTACTATGTGGCATGCCTATATGCTACTACAGTAAATTATTACAAGTAGTAGAATTACAGGAGAACCACATTTGTTATTAGATCAACATAGTCTCATTGCCACAGTCTACGTTTATGTGAAAGTTAGCCTACTGTAATACTGGTGAGTGATGTTTGACAATTAAGTACAACATAGTTATACTGTACTACTACTACTACTACTACTACTAGTATCACGCTGCTCTCACCCCAACGAAAAGTGCTCTGTTCTGTACTGTTACACCGACTTACATGGCTTGCTGCCTAATGCACTCAACAGTCTGAGAGGAACTAAGTAAAATAAGTTATCAGTGACAGTGATTTAAATGGTCCTACATATTTACATCTAAACCAACTCACATTTGACTGAATGACGACTCTTGTACCACTTCGTGCACTGGCCAGAAAATCCACCGTGTGTATTTATCATGGGTACCGGTACTCTACTGTCTACATCTGGAAGCTCTTTACTCTCACAATCCAGGACAGATTTAAACTCTGACCTACATATGGCATAATGATCAGCACTCACACAATAAATCTTTACTACATACCGCTGTTTAGCAACAGAATCTAGTTTGTTTGAGCATTCTTCACGCAGAAATTCTATGGTGATCAAGCTGTAGACAGGCTCTGGACGTGGACCTGTCTCTGCACGGAGTGACGGTGCCGACCGGGTACCAGTCTAAGCCAGCTGAGCAGAATGAGGTGATCACCAACATGCCGGGGAAACAATAGAACATCATATAATATGACGTCACTGTACAAGGTCTATAGACTGAGCCAACATCACCAGTTAGATTTAAAAAGTTCCTGATGAGTTGGCATTTCAACACCGTGTAACCCAATGTTTAATTTAATATGTCTAGGGGGGCACTGGTACAAGCAATAAAATAAAACGGGGAAAAAATAAAACGACATTGGGTCACTATACAAAGCACTGTGAAACTAGATACAAGCCGAACATATCGAAATCACAAGACATGCAGACTGCGAATGTGATACTCACGCCTTGGTGAAACAGCACGACCGTGTGGATTGTGGGCTCACCACGTCCATCACCTTGAGAAAGCGTGTGACAAGTTGCTGCGGCAGCTGGTGTCGGCTCTCCATGTCATGTGGCGACAGGTAGCTGCCCAATGTGCGCATGGCACTGTCCTGACAGTTATGCAGCAGCTTGCGGTCATCCAACTGACCACCGCAGACGCTGCTCCAACACTGCAGCACAGCAGAGGCGTCTGAGCTAATCCCACCTGTGTGTGATGTACTCTGCACATTCTTTACCTCCAGACATTGTGCTGCTCGTTCTAGTGATGCACTAGCTTCTCCTGTGTGTTCAGCACTAACGTCCATGTGACAGGTTATTGTCGAGGCTTCCTGAAGACTTCCACCAATCTTATGAGGTGGGACAATGCATGCGTTTTCATTTACAGTGACCTTATGACCAAGTGCGGGTAAACATTTCTCAGTGGCATTGCTGTTGACAGATGTTCTTTTCTTGGAGTTATTGGCTTTGACAGTTCTACATGGCTGATCCGATTCAGAGAAGTTCCACACATCTGCACAGAACCTGCTCCCTCCAGTTTGTTTACAGACAGAATAGCTATTCATGATATGGCACAGGGTGCAAGAGACAAGTTCTGCTTCCTTTGGAGGATGAAATGACAGTGGCGACTTCTTTGCAATTAGGTAGAATCTAAGTCGAGAATTTGGAATTCCCAGCTGCACTGGAGACAATAGCATTTCCTACAAGGACCCAAAGACAGTTATTTTGTTGAACAATTCTTTAATAATTACTATCAAGCCTAAATGCATGCAACTGTAGGAGTCAAAAGATTTAGTGCAAAATTTAATAACAACTGTGTTTCAGTATTATTCATTTTGCAAGTCAGCAGTAAATTCTCGATTTAAACCAAAAATGTTTTGTCCCTTTCATGCAGTTCATCACCCTCAATTCTCATCTCTTACTGTCAAACAATCCCCTATCTCGAACTCTCCAGAATACTGGATAATCATTACCTTATATATGTATCCACATCTATCCAGCATCTCCCTGAACGCTGCTCTAGCATTTGAGGTCTCAAAGCCTTTTACATTTTCTAATAAAATGTACTTTGGTTGATTCTCCAACTTTGGTAATGTGTTGAGTAGATATAAGAATGACTTTGCTCTTGGGTCACTAACATCTTTCTGACATCCTAGCCTAATTGTAAGACAAAATATACTTAAAAGTATTTATTTCGAACATAATTTCCAATGAGTCTTGTTTTCCCCACTTTTACGACACATGCCGTTATTGCTTGAGTAACAGCAACTGTCTAGAGTAATGATAGAATGTCTTAGAACCTTCTTACTTACTCCAAAATATGCATAATTTTAATTTTGATTACTTGTTTTGATTATTGCCACCATTTCTTGTGAATCTTGAACTATCTCGCGCTAGGTGCACTATACGTGCACTTTTAACCTGCTGGTGCACTAAGGCGCCATTTGCAAATTAATTGCCTCTATAATCAAATATATGCCATGGTGTTGCGATGTATTCTAATTCAATTTTCTTAGTATTATAAAACATTGTAAAACTACATAACACTTGGCTTTAGTCTTTTAATATTCTGCCTAGCTTTTTGACACAGGGGCTCTTAAACATCTCCCTAACCCCTGCAAGCAGCCCCAAAACTAAAAGAAGAAAAAGAAGCTGGGAAGGAGAAGGAAGAGGAAAAAGATGAGGATGTAGGAGGAAGAGGAGGAGGAGAATAGGAAGGAGGGAAAAGAAGCAAAAGCAGAAAACAAATAAGAACAAAAAGCAATCCTGCACTATATACAAAAAAATATCAGGGGGAGATCCAGTAAACGTGTGAATTATACAGTCAACCTCGCTTAATTTGTCATCACTTTATTCGTAAATGACCTAATTCATACAAAAAAATGTGGTCCCAATATTTCTCTTCTTTATTCCCTTTAATTTCCATTGTATAATTCGTATTCTGTAATTCGTAATTCGTACAAAATTCTCTGGTCCAATTAACATTATTCAATTTAAAATGACACGCATAATTCGTAGGGGATGTTTGGTTATGCAAGCAACATTTTATCTGTAGATCCCGCAACTGAGTTTACACTAGCTGTTGCTGTGTGCACTGATTGTTTCATTCGCATTGTTCTCTTGGATGCATTGTTTTTTTGAGGTTGCAAAAGTAGTTCATCTATACTATAAAAGGGAACAGCCCATTTTTTGTTAGCTATGTTCTCTGAATCTGCTCGCATGATTTGAAATTGCTTGACTGTAAACGATGCATTACCACTCATAGAGTAATATTGGCGCACTTTTGCAATGATGAAAACAGGATAAAGTTGAATTTGAAGCCGTTTTATTTAACACTGGTGTACCGATACCATACCGCTGTATCGATCGACGTCACTACTCATTACCATTAACCAATCTGGTACGCGTCGTTACCAGCTTGCGCTGTGGTGCAGTGGTAGCACGCTTGCCTTATAAGTTAGTGGTCGGGAGTTCGAAACTCAACAGCCGCGAAAATTAAAAAATATATATTTCTCGCCAGGTGCGCAACTTCTTTCTTTCATCCTAAATATATGCATATTTAAAATAGATTTAATGTAAAATGTATACTAAAAAAGGGAAACAGCCAATATTTATTAGCCAAGTTATTTTTAAGTTAAGGAATTTCCCTCATTGGACTCCCCTGGGATATCCCAAAATCCATAATGAGGCTCTTCACGCCGATGTGCTTACCACATCTTCACGTTCGGTTGAGTCTGACGCCGAAAACTTTGTAGCTGAGTTAATACAAGTTAATATACCTTTATCTCCTGCACTTAAGCTAGGTTTTCCGAAATATCAATATGCCTGTTTCTTGAATAACAATCATAGTTCGTAGGCCTACACAAACACAGTGACCATGTTTCCATAGTCAATAAATGGCATTATTCCTGCCGATTGTCACCAATTCCTGCATGAATTATGTATTGTTGGCAAAACATGTTAAACCCCCAGACAGCCCCACAGACAGTGATTATCAACTGCTGACCAGAAAGCTTCTGAAATTATTAACTGCTGACCAAACAAACTGCTGATATTGGGGATTTCAATTATAATATCAATTCTTACAAACTAGTGCTGTGCGTCGGATCCGACATGAACCAAAAATCCGATCCGACAGCATTTTTGAAAATCCGAATCCGAATCCGAATCCGATGGCTATTTTGAATCCCATCCGCATCCGAATCCGATGGTAATTTTTGAATCCGAATCCCAATCCGAATCCGATGTGTATCGCTAAATCCGATCCGAAATCCGCTCCGAAATCCGACCCGAATCCGGCACATAGAAATTGTAAATAGTGTGACAGCATTGTGTAAAATTCGTGTTATAATTTGTTTCAACATCAAACATTGGGTTGTTGAGATCAAGGGATGGGGTGAAGGGGGACTGTAGACGTAAGAAAAGTTAGAGAACGGGATGATCGGGAATCTGGAACGATAATCCATCCAACGTTGGTCCAACGGCTTTTCGCTGAGCATGCCTGATCCCTCTCTCTCTCTCTCTGTCACACACACAACACAAACACGCACACCTCTCTCTCTCTCTCTCTCTCTCTCTCTCTCTCTCTCTCTCTCTCTCTCTCCCTCTCTCTCTCTCTCTCTCTCACACACACACTCCCTCTCTGGTTCTCTCTTTCTCTCGCTGTCACACACAACACAAACACGCACACTTCTCTCCCCATCCCGGCGATCCGAATCCGAATCCGACAGCATTTTTGAAAATCCGACTCCGAATCCGAATCCGACGACAATTTTGAATCCGAATCCGAATCCGAATCCGATTCTTTAAAAATTGTAAATCCGATCCGAATCCGAATCCGATCGGATTCGGATCGGATCGGATTCGGATTATCGGATCCGACGCACAGCACTATTACAAACTGCTGGTATAATTCGATATTAGGCATAAAATATAATAAATGTCTGTTTACGGTTCCAAATATAATTTTTTAAAGGATAGGTCAGTAGGTTAAAAAACATTTTTTTACTTACAAATTTATTTTAAAGTAAAAAACACCAAAACTATCATTCAATGTGTTCATTTTCTAGAACTTCAAACCACGATACATATCTTGATGGAAAAATGATAGAAAAATATTGTTTAGGAAGACTAATTTCTATTTCTCGACTTTATTTATCATTTTGGTCTAAAATAAATCAATTTCATATTCTTTTTACAACAATGCTAATAACAAATTTGAGTCGGCACTTTTTGGAAGGGTCTGTCGGACTCGACTCTAACTGTGAACGAAGCTGTCCATTTCCCTGTGGATTTCTTGAATTCCTTTAATACCGCAGGCTTACCACCACACAAACTTACTCTTAAACTTGGTTCCCCCATCATTGTCCTCAGATCTTTACACCCACCCAACATCACCAATGGAACACGTTGTCGAGTCAGAGCCTGCCATCCCAACGTCATAGAAGTCATCATCCTACATGAACCAGCGACTGGCAAAACCGTATTCACACCACGCACACCACTCATTCCTTCAACATCAGATCTTCCATTTCAATTTAAAAGACTGCAATTCCCTATCCGCCGTTGCTATGCTATGACAATAAACAAAGCCCAAGAACAGACTTTAACTACCATAGGCTTTGACCTGACCACACCTGTCTTCTCCCATGGCATGCTCCATGTTGCCCTCTCACGAGTAGGCAAACCCACGGCGATATTCATTCACCCACAAGACAGGAAGACCAAAAACATAGTTTACAAAGAAGTCCTTGATCCTTAGATGAGCTACAACACTAATACAATCATTCATGAATTCCCACCGTCCGAAGGATCACTTTCAGTTACTCATGTCCTAGATAGTTAGGCAATTACATGAAACTAAAAAAGACGTTCGCGATAAAATCTCCGCCCCCGAAAACCATATCCAAACTGTTAACAAACAACTCATAGAAACTATCACTGAAACTATCACTGAAACTAAATCTAAATATTCGAGAATGACTCTGCAATGGTACTAGACTCAAAATCCATAGACTTCACAAACACGTACTTGATGCAGAAATACTCACCGGCCCTCGCAGTGGACAAAGAACATTAATACCCAGGATAATATTAGCTCCATCCCATGTCAAGCTATCATTTACACTTCAACGCCGCCAGTTCCCTATTCGCTTGGCTTACTGCATCACCATCAATAAAGCGCAAGGTCAAACTTTCAAGAAGCTGGGCATTTTCCTCCCAAAACCCGTCTTCTCTCATGGCCAACTTTACGTTGACTTCTTACGTGCTAAATCTTTCGCTGAGATAAAGCTTCAACTGAAAACTACTCACAACCAAACTCAAGGGAAATCAGACTCTGTTTACTACACTACCAACGTTGTATACCATGAAGTTCTGTAATTTAGTGTCTATCACCTGTAAATCTCATCAAATAAACTTTTGTATTTTATTTTACTTCTTCAAAGTACTTCTTCTCAGCTAAACCATGCATTTCTACATTCACAGCATATGCCCGCACCAGTGAGCATCACTACCATAGACTTTCACTACCATAGGCTTGGGCCTGACCACACCTGTCTTCTTCCATGGCATGCTCTATGTTGCCCTCTCACAAGTAGGCAAACCCAGGGCGATGTTCATTCACACAGCATACGAAGACCAAAAACATAGTTTACAAAGAAGCTCTTGATCCTTAGGTGAGCTACACCACTAATACACTCATTCATGAATTCCCACCGTCCGAAGGACAGGTACTTTGCTAGTGTAGATATAAAGCCTGGCAAAATATCAGCTTGACACTCTCCAAGTGGTCGAAATACCGGCTTTGTAAATCGTCAAAATGATTGTAGTACATTGCACAAACATCTTTTTATTACAATGTTAAACTTTCATTCATAAATCGTTGTTTACACGAATTATCTATCTATTTCGTGGTTTCTACGGATTAAATAGAATTCGTGAAAAATACGAATTAAGTCTAATTCGTTGATTACGTAATTCGTAGAAATGCTGTGGTCCCGTCTGATACGAATTAAGCGAGGTTGACTGTATAACCAATAAATTATGTTCTAACAAACCTGGTGAAAGGCTGGCATGGTGGACTCATTGTAAGAAGATCTATTTTCATCTTGTCTAGTTGCTGCACTGATATGGACTGTCAAAATTCAAATTTACTTGCATAATTTGCAAACAGAACACTTTTTGGCCATACATCTAAAATCCAGCTGCCCTTGCAAACACAAATGGCATACAAACACAATCATATTATTTCACTATAAGCAAATTAGACTGCAATATTAATATGCCCCTAGTCACGCAATACTGCAAAGTATATACAAATCTCTTTCATTTAAAATAGTGTAACATATTAATAACTAAATTCTAAATATTCGTTAAGATCTATGCGTGATAATATAGAGTTTGACTAGTTGCTCTCCTGATTTTACATAATTTGTTTGATAATAAAATCAACATTAACCTAATTAAGTAAATTACCTCAATATTTCTTTGAAGCAGATTGGTTTCCCTAAAGTTATGTTTGTAGATGATATTGGCCTTTTCGTTTATGTCAACTGCTGCCACAATTTTATAGTTTAGACCACTGTCTGAAAAAAGTCAATTTATGGATAATTATACCTGTTATATATACACATCGGATATTGTATTTATATTAGCCCGTGGTTTGATGGCAATCCATAATTTAGTATTACCCACTTCCGGGGCACGCGCGTCTGTGCATGCATAATAAAACAATTTCCGTTCATGGCTACTTGCGAGTTAGCTTTCATTATGTATCATCATGGTTAATAAGCCAAAAGCCGTGTAAATACATAACATCTGACGATGAGGATGTGATGAGAACATGCAGGGAAACTCAGAGATGCCACTGGTCATGATGGCAGGTGTCATTGGATGTATGGAGTTGTTCGATGACAAGATCTCGAGTCGTGGGAGTTGTATTCCGAAAGGCTGGGGCAATATTTCATTGTCAACAACGTGACAGAGGAAATGAAAGTGCCCACTTTACTAAGCCTCGTCGGGGGAAAACGTATGGCATCCTACGAGATTTAACCTCACCTGCCAAACCAGCAACGAAGTCTTATACCTTTCTTGTTGATTTGTTGTAAGAGCACTTATCTCCAACACCGAGTATCATCGCAACGTTTTCGTTTTTACAAACGTGATCAGCAGGAAGGAGAGGGAATTAGTGAGTATATTGCGAAGTTAGAAAAATTATCAGAACATCGTGAGTTCGGTAGAGTTCTGATGGACTCACTGCGAGATCGTCTGGTGTGCGGCATTCGGAGTGCTGCTATTCAGAAAAGGCTTCTCTCGGAGAGAAAACTTGACTTTGACCAGGCCAGATCGATAGCCATCGTCATGGAAACGGCAGCACGTGACGCAGTGGAATTACAGGAGAGAAACCGGAACCCAGGAACAGTGCACAAAGTATATGTTGCTCAAGGTCAGAAGAAACATGTCACACGTCCACAGAAGGGCCCACAGAAGAACAAAAGGGCAAGTGATAAACCATGTTTTCGTTGTTTGCAATCCGGGCATGACCCAGACGACTGCTATTTCAAACACGAAAAATGCAGCAAATGTAGAAGGATAGGGCATATACAAAGGGCTTGTTTATGAGTCAAAGAAAATTGACCATGTATTGGATGAAGAAAATACATCACCACTTAGTGAGCAAGCAGCTACTTATACAGTGGAGGACTTTGATTTATTCTCAGTTACATGTAATACAGAGAAGTCAAGTGTGAAACCCTTCTGGGTTGAGCCGGTGGTCAATGGGAAACCACTGAAGATAAACTAGACACATGAGCAGCGGTGTCTGTGATTCAAGTGAAAGATTTCAGACAGCACTTTGGTACACATTTACAGTTACGTGATACAGAGAAGAGGCTGAAAACATACTCAGGAGAGACAGTCATTCCAGTTGACCGGGCAGACGTGAAAGTGGAACTGAATGGTCAGATCAAAACACTACCATTATATGTTGTCAAACAGGGCGGCCCACCATTATTCAGGTGAGACTGGTTTCAAGACATCAGGTTAGACTGGGCACAGATCCATGCTGTCAGAGGTACCAGTGATGTTGCAGACTTGATGAACAAGTACAGTGCCGTGTTTGCATCTGATCTTGGAACAATGAAGGACATTAAAGTGAAACTCAGGAGCGGGCACAGCCGAAGTTCTTGAAAGCCCGGCCGATACCATTTTCACTCAGACCTGCAGCTAAACGTGAATTGGATAGACTGGTAAAAATTGGTGTGTTGACACCTGTAGAGCATAGTGAGTATGCCACACCTATCGTCGTTGTTCCCAAGAAAGATGGAGCAGTACGTATTTGTGGAGATTTCAAATCAACACTGAACAACCAAATTATTGTTGATCAGTATCCACTACCCAAAATCAACAACATATTTGCAAATTTGGCGGTTGGCAAGCGATTCACGAAGCTCGACATGTAGAATGCTTACATGCAGATGGAGGTTGAAGAAAGCCAGCGAGAGATGCTGACTATCAACACACACAGAGGGCTGTTCCGATACAACAGGCTCATCTATGGGATTTCCTCCGCCCCTGCTATTTGGCAGAGAACTATGGAGCAAGTTCTCCAAGGATTACCTGAAGTGCAGTGCATTCTGGATGATATGATTATTACAGTAAGTTCCGATGAAGAACACTTGAGAAACTTGAAGTGTCTTGGTGAGATTACAGAGAAGTGGTCTCAGAGCAAACATTGACAAATGTGACATTTTCAAGGTCAAAATTGACTTTTGTGGTCATTCAATTGACGAAAAAGGGTTACACAAGACCCCGGGCAAAATCGAAGCACTCCTACATGCGGCAGTTCCAGAGAACGTGACACAGCTACGTGCATTTTTAGGACTTGTGAACTATTATTCCAAATTTTTGGAAAAATTGTCCACAGTATTGCGACCCCTGCACAAGCTGCTTGAGAAGGACAGTTTGGAACTGGTCAAAAGATTGTCAGAGATCGTTCGTGAAGGTAAAGGAAATGATGGCATCGGACAAGGTATTGACTCACTATGATCTGGGGCTACCTGTCATTTTGTCGTGTGATGCATCACCGAGTGGGCTTGGTGCAGTCTTGTCCCATGAAATGCCAAACGGAGATGAGAGACCCATAGCATACGCCTCACGTACTTTGAAGTCAGCGGAGAAAAACTATTCTCAAATAGATAAGGAGGCGTTGCATGGACATTGTGTGGGGAATCAAACATTTCAACGTGTACCTGTACGGACGGCAGTTCGCCATTATGACAGATCATCAGCCATTGGTTTTGATATTCAACCCGCCAAAGGCGTCTTCCACAACTATGGCAGCCAGAATGCAAAGATATGCAGTGTTTCTATCGGGGTATACAACAATTAGTAAGTTTACTGATTTTATGCAGGCAAACGGGATTCTACATTTGAGCTCAGCACCATTCCACCCACGCACAAATGGTTTAGCAGAACGCTTTCTGCAGACTTTAAAAGGGAGTTTACTCTAGGTTCTAGGGTTATTTTTTAGCTAATTTAGGTTATAATTACGCTACATAAAAAGTCTCATGGTTCAATCACCATTAGAAATATTTTTTTTAAATGTTTTAAAACTAACGACTACAGTTTGATTACAACGACGGTGGCGCCACTCAAAGCGCACGATCTGATAAGTTGCGCAAAACCACTTTCCAGCCAAGAGCTACAGACCGAGGGTGTTTCTTATTTATTCATTTAAAAGCAAAAGGATTGTAATATCTTATAAATGACATATGTTTCAGTTATAATATGGATAAATTTGCCTTAAAATGAATATCGTTCGGTTAAATAGCATTTAGGTATAAATATAATTGCACTTTTGTGATTAGCCCTCGGTCTGTAACGTGCAAAATAAATTGTCAAATACGCAACTTTTTCGGGGTGGCAGCACGGTCGTGGGTGTCATGGCGCCGTTCAAATTTCGTAGCGTTGATGTGTAATTAATTATAACAATTAAATTAGGTATCTGGTAACAAATAGGTGTGGGTATAGACGATTTGTTATACAGTAAGTACAGTTGTATGCAGTAAAATCCTAGAGGCTACTGTCCCTTTAAGCAAGCCATGAAGTCGTCAGCGAATGATAATGGGTCACTACAACAGAAATTGCAGCGTTTCCTGTTATCGCACAGAAATACGCCACAGTCGACAACGGCAGAAGCACCAGCTAGTTTGCTGATGGGGCGCAAACTGAGAATGCGCTTGGATTTGCTGCATCCCAATGTGTCGGGAAAAAGTGATGAAGGCACAAGCTCGTATGACGAAGGGAGAAGAACTGCAGAAAAGTCGTGATTTCACCAGTGGCTACTCAGTGCTGGTTCGCGATTACAGAGGCGACTGTAAGTGGACACCCGGTGTGATTCAGTCTAAGACTGGACCAGGGTCGCACAGAGTTGAAATGACGTCGGGTCAGGTATGGCGTCGTCACACCGAGCAGATCGTCAAGTCTGTTCCAGACCAAGCAGGGGGGGGGGGTGTAATGCCGATGTTCCCGATATCATCGTGACACATCCAGTCATTTGTGATTCCAGTAGCTCAGCAGTCAGACATGGGGCAAGACAGACAGATGCGTGGAAAGTCACCAGTGAAGCAGACACCTGTGAGACAGACACCTCCAGTGAAGCAGAAGCAGATAGTTCCAGCGGTCCAGAGAAATCCAGAGAGGATCCGGAAAGCACCACAGAAATTAGATCTATAATTTCTCAGATTAGTGTTACTGGGCATAATAATCCCATGCGATCTGAAGGGCCCCAGTGTCCTATTTTGTGAGTTATATAATTATTGTGTTCAAAAAGTTCAGTTCAAGACTGTAGTTTCAGTCAGGGTTACTTAGGAACAAGACTGTAAATATATTTTGAAGATACTTTATACACGTTCAGTCTAACGTAATTGTAGTTGAAATCTACAGGTTAAATTTTACATGTATAAAGTATATTTGTATATACTTATACACCTAACCAGGAAGGTTATAGTTCTAGAAAACAGCCACACAAAGGATATATTGTATACAGTACTTTTAAGTAAAATTACAGATTCAAATGGTGTGTGTACCAATACATGTGACTGTAGAACTGTGGAAGAATCCAGTTTCAAGGGACTTTAATTCTAGAAGGGAGGAGTGTTATATATATATACAGTGTTTCCCCTGGCCAAAAAGGTCAGAGGCAATCAAACAAAATTGGTGGTTGCGCAATCCGAGAAGCGAGGAACGCGAGCACCAATGGTGATTTTTTTTTTTTTTTTTAAATGGTGCAATTTGGCGCATCTTGAGCTATTCTGAACACATTAATCATTAATGTATGACTCTTGAATCACTTTTTCAATATGTCAAAAGGAACAAACGAGCTTCTGGGAAAGGATTTACTTTCGTTTTTCTCCTCCCCCGTCCTCCGTACCCCCATGCATAGATCAGTGCTGCCGCATATTCGCAAAGTGCCTAGAATCTTGAAGTATATACAGTTTACATTGCTTCTAGATATCTAACTGAATAAAAATAGTCCACTTTCTACATAAAGAAAAGTGACGAATTCAGTTAACAGCTATGATTACATGCGTGTCACTGTCAGGTGTCACTGGTCGTGCCCTCACTCCCCATGATAACCCCTGCAACATATAAACTTATTGTCATGCGGGCATAAAAACACTGGGCTACGGTTCATGCCGCCACAATCGATTTCTTAGACTGTCACGAGGTTTTGTTCATGTGGCGAATCATGCATTGAGGGAGTTCATGCCCTCGGCTCTAGATGTTTTGGCTACCCCTTCTAAGTTCAGGAACGGAGCATATTAGAATGCGCTCCCGTATACAAGTCAGTCTAAACTGCCGTTGCGATAACCGTAGTATTTCAGCGTAATATGAGGGGAAAGAGTGCCGGACAGGAGGACCGGCAGTTTCGTAGAGATGGTGGCCGAAGCAAAAACTTAATGGCCTCGGGCCTCCGGGTCGGCACTAATTTTGAACGCTGTCAATGAAGTGTAGTTTATTGATAGAAGAACAGTGATTTTCGTCAGCGAGGTGGTGTTTTTGGATAAATTTCTGCATGGCGGCCGAGATTTGAGCGAAGCGGCAGCCTCGCTCGTGTCAATGCAGGGGAAACACTGTATATACACATCGGATAGTGTATATATTTTAGCCCGTGGTTTGATGGCAATCCATATTTTAGTATTACCCACTTCTGGGGCGTGCGCGTCTGCACATGCGTAATAAAACAGTTTCCGTTCCTGGCTACTTGCGAGTTAGCTTTCATTATGTATCATCATGGTTAATAGGCCTGTACCGTAGTATTTGGACGCTCCGTAGGCATGCTCTTTTGTTTTGCTCTTGTTTTCTTTTTGTTTGAATCTTGTTTTGCACGGCCGTAGGAAATAGTAGCCATGCTCTTTTGTTTTCTTTTTGTTTCGCCTTGTAACCTGACACACATAACACAGTCTTACTAATTTACTACATATTGCAAATTGTTTCAATCAAATGTTTCCATCAGTGACCGGGAAGTCCGCCATGTTTGTTTAATGCGACCGTGTCGAAGGGCAAAATGCGCAGATGACTACTGCGCATGCTGCACATGCGCTGTGTGCGCCCTTGCAAAACAAGAGGTGCCTGCGCGCATGCGCACTTAGGAGCGTCCAGTTTCGGGCGAGCATCCAAATACTACGGTACAGGCCAAAAGCCGTATAAATACATATAACAATACCTTTAGTTTAAATTATGTACAGTTACTATACATTTCATACTGTAAATTACAATGAAGGTAAAGGCCGCCGCACACCAGCCGATTTTTCACGCGATTTGATCGGCCCGATAGAAATCAGCCGATATCGGGTAGGTGTGCGCGTTCATTTGTAGACGATTTTATTTTTATCGGGTGATCGTTCCAAATCAAACATGTTTGATTTTGAACCGATTATTTGGACGCGATTTTGTGGTGTGCGCGTGAACTCGTGAAAATCGTGTGCGATAAATATTGAACAGCCAATAGCTGAACGTGCCCGTGTCACATGACATTCAAAATGGCGGCTACCGTAGAGAAAGCTTGGACCCTCGAAGAAATTTATCGTAGGTGTGCGGGTGTTTATCGTAGGTGTGCGGGTGTTTATCGGAAGGCGTCGCGATGAGCCGATTTTACAAACGATGAAGCGATTTTTGAATCGGACCGATTTTTGTGTAGGTGTGCGGCGGCCTTAAACGGGTAATGAAGTACAGGTAAACTGAGATACCTCCCAACAGTAAATGCAACTGTTAATCAAGTAGAGTTTTAAAACTAATAAATATAGATATGGCCAGGAACAAATAAAATTTGTTTTATTCATCACTCATGAAATTGCACCTGACATTGATATATGGCATCAATGTCAGGTCTAGTAGTATAACAGTACAGCCAAAGCTGTATATAAGGGCCATTCAATGGAAGGTGGAATGCGAAAAGGAAACTTTACAGGCAGATGGTTGTTCTATAGTAATGGAAATAAGCTGCGAGATAGGTGCAATTTTTTCTCATCAAATTTAGCTTGCCACTTCACAAATAAAACTTCTGTGACAGTGATGTTTGAGAACTTCCATGAATATGATGAAAATTACTATTACTTTAATCAGGTTATGACAGAAATATTTGTACACTGCGAACATAAACATTAGGGTAGTGGGAATGTAAGACACACTTGCATCACCTCAACAACTTACCCTTCAAAGCACAGTGCATACCTCCAATACCACTGTATAATTCGAGTACTCTTAGCTGGTTGTGTTCACCTGCTACTGTTTCCATCGCATGATCAGTTGCTACACCAGGAGTAAAATGTTCCACTCTAGTCTCCACCATACTCAGCCTAAGATGTATGCAAAAACATGGGTAAAATGTTCCCAATGAATCTAAGAGCTGATTCATAGGAAATATTCGATCAAAACAGGTTTCGTGAGATAAGTGAATAATGGTTTAAATACAGAAGATTCAAGAATAGACACAGAGTAGGCAAAACATTCTTACAAAGGGAGTGTAAATTAGGCCCCTAATTAGTTAAATTCATAGATTTACCTTATCTGTAATAACTAATATATATCAGGTTTATCAATCAATTGCAAACAATATGAATTAAAAGTAGCATAATAACCAAAAGTTAAGGCATTGCCAGCAACTATATAAGCAGCAACACCTATCGCCTAAGTTAACTACTACACTGCTGCTGTGTGCTGTTGTCTCGAACCCTTTAAGTAGAATTTTGTCGCTTGTAACACGTTGGGGGGTACCATATACAGGCAAGCACTGATCGCATAAATAATGAAAGTGTCAATGACACTATACCTCACCTTTGGTGTGATAGAAGAGGGAGATGATATTTAAAATTTGGTAATTGTTTCATTTATGATGGACTGAAATGTGATCAAATGTCCTTATTCCCTGTTTTACACTAATATAAATTTCACTGTTTTGTTTCAGGGTTAGTTTTGATGCGAAAATAAATGTTTCAGATCTGAAAGTCTGAAATCTGGGCGAGAGATGGCGCTACGCCTAAATGATCGCCATTTTGATTTTCGATTATCGCGCAAATAAAAGCAATAAAATATTCCAGTCAAATTACTGTAACAAAGAATATAAAACCCAATATTACGCGTAGGCACCGTATTATTAGGTAGGTAGGTAGGTAGGTAAATAGGTAAATTTAACAAAATCGAATTAATCTAGATGGCAATTTTCATTTTTGCCAAAAAGTGGGCATGGCTCAAAAGTAGGTTGACTGGGGTGCTCCAAAATAGGACGTTCACATCTCTCCCATAGGAGTAATGCAACTGTATGCAATTTGAAACATGTGGGTCAAACTGTTCTCGAGTTATCGTTGACCATAGGCAGACACTGAAATGCAGTGAAATTCCTAAAATCTACCTAATTTGCATAATTAAAAAAAATAATCAAAACCTCCTGTGATATCTTTTGGGGCCAGTCCTTATTCATTCACATACCAAAAATGAGAAAAATCTGTTAAACCTGAACTGACTTATGGCCATTTCCATTTTTGCCAAAAAGTGGGCGTGGCTCGAAAGTAGGTCAACTGGCGTGCTCCAAAATAGGACGTTCACATCTCTCCCATAGGAGTAACAACTGTATCCAATTTGAAACATGTGGGTCAAACGGTTCTCAAGTTATCGTTGACCGTAGCCAAATGGCTCATCTTTACCTATTCCCAACAAGCCTAAAGAAATACTACACTCTCGAATATAAGGGAATATTATGATAATAAGTGCATAAATGATAGTATATTCCTAAAAATTTCTATTATCAAGCATTCACATTTGTCATTAAACAACAGTGAGTTTTTTGAACGCCGACAATGACCTTATCGGTACAATGCTTATTACTAAAGTGAAAAAGAACCACAACAAATATTTGAGAAGCATCATATATCAACAATATATAAGTAATGAATATCATAGCCAATTCAAAATAATTAAAAAAAAGACGAGGTAATGAAGTTTACATATATTTTGCCAGTTCGATGTTATAGATGTCACGAACATAAGTAATTTGAGTTCTCTATACATTGGGGTGACATGACCTATACGCTTAGCAAACTTGACGCATTTTACTATTTGTTTCGGTAATTCAACAGCCGGGTATGATAGTGATTTAGAAGCTTGTTAGGGTCCCATACTGTAAATAGGGGTAGGAAAGCGCATAATATACAGAAGTAAGAGTGTTGGTATCTACGTATTGCCTGAATTGTATAAAATTTGTATTGTCATCCACGAACAGTATTGTAACAAAGTTAGACGCACATGCCATTTATGTAGAACAAGAACAAGAATAGATGAGAGAATATCCCGATTGCAGTTTATTGTATCTTGTTAGTAAGATAGCCTTTAAACATTTCTAGAGATGATCCCCTTACTCCGTAGCGTTCATCTAAAAATATGTCATGCTGCACAGTATCAAATGCCTTTGAAAGATCAAGAAATATCACACAAGTAATTTTGCCAGCACCTATAGAGACTCAAGAAGTGTCGTGGATTTCAGAAATTGCCAAGACTGATTTGGAGAAAGTATATTTGCCAAGAGAAGTTGACCTTGAGCAACACAGCAGCCATGTGGTTAAGAATAAAATTTAATGAATTTCTTTTTCCATATATATATATATATATTACTCATTTAGTCATTAAGCCGGCCTTAGGTCGGCCTTGCGACGCGGCGCGATTGCCTGCGACTGATTTTCTGCAACTCGCAGCGACGATCGCGTCGCAGGGACAGTTCGATCTAAGAACTGCATACTTGTTGTGTACATGACTGTATGCATTGTTTGATTCACATTGTTCGCTTTTATGTATTGACATTGTTCATTATTCATTCAAATCTCATCGCAGCGATCACAAGGCAGCTTATGCAAGGTAAAACAATTCAAGCAACGGGTGGAAACTAGTCGCTTCGCGTCACAGAAGTAGAACATGCACGACTCGCTGTGACTGACCATTTTCCAATTGCTGAGCATCACAGGCCCGTCGCTGGCAGTTACAGGAGTGTTTCTTAGCCTTAGGCTTAGGTCGAACTGGCTACGACACGATCGTCGCAGTGAGTTGCAACCAGTTGCAGAAAATCAGTCGCAGGCTGCGCAATCACGTCGCGTCGCAAGGGCGACCTAAAGGCTAACTCAGGTCGCCCTTACGACATAGTCGCCAACAAAATTTGAACATCATACGTCAAAAACCGGCCAGATCGCCGATAAAAACATCGGCGACTAAACTTGACATGAGTTCTCTTAAGATCGAAAATACGGTCGCCGACTGCGATCGCAGGAATAGAAACGGTTCTATTTCTATGCGGCGGTCGGCGACAAATCGTGAGTGGCAGCCAATCCACGCTATACGTGTCGAGTCACTTGATTATCAAAAGTCACGTGATTAACTAACCCAACCAGGCTGTGTGACTAACGTCAATACACCGTGACCGTGATAACGGTATGCTAACCCTAGCAATACCGTTTCTTGGAGCTAGTGATTAACAAAATGGCAGCCTATAGTCCGGGAGCCATGGGGTCATACCCTGCACTAAGAGTTAAAGTTTATTTCTTTGCTGATTCTGGTAGACTAGGTGTTGGTCTTCACTTTCCAGGTGGATGACCACCCGTCACCCTTGAGCAATTTTCTATATTAACCCTTTTGTGTTGAGAGCGTCAACTCAAAAATTGGCGAAAAATTAGGGGTGGGGAAAACAAAAAGTCTACTAGATCTGTTGTTTTTAAAGCTAATGGATCATGTGACCACTCAAGATGTTGGTATTTAAGAGCTCTTTCTAATGATAGGTGAATAATAAGGTCACTAGAGGTCAAAAGGTCACAAATGTTTGACCTTCCTCGAAATCTTAAATATTGCTTTTAGCACTCCTGCCTTGGCCAAGAACAGGCTATAATGGTGCTTTTTACCCCTAAATTTGTTCAAGGAGATGCCCTGCTATCATTTTAAACTGCCCATGTTCAAATATGTTCAATGTTGACCAACCTATTACAAAAGAAAGACAAGTGATGTGCTAAAATAGCTGTTTTTATTACCCAAAAGTTGATAACGCTTACAGTAATCAGATCTGACGATCCAGATGAGACGGGATACTAGAGAAGCGTTGCCGAAAGGAGGTGTTGACCCGAAGTGCTGAGCGCAGATCTTGCGCGCAGTTCCACGGCAAGGCGCACGCGACCGCGGGAACGTACGTCCTACGACAGTATGCAGCGCTGGCAGCTATGGATCCGTGCGCCGAATGCTTAGGCCGGCGCACGCATCCATAGCTGCCAGCGAACAGTCCACAATTTTAGTGGGGGACACAGAGGGCAGACATTTGGGACGTGAACAGTGTTCACTTGTTATAAAAACATGTCTCTGTTCGTAACCGAGCTGTGTCACGTGAAATCACAGAAAGACTGACGAAATTTTCGCGTTCGCGAACCTTGCCCAGTAAGATTTTATAACAAGTGAACACTGTTCACGTCCCAAATGTCTGCCCTCTGTGTCCCCCACTAAAATTGTGGACTGTTCGCTGGCAGCTATGGATGCGTGCGCCGGCCTAAGAATTAGGCGCACGGATCCATAGCTGCCAGCGAACAGTCCACAATTTTAGTGGGGGACACAGAGGGCAGACATTTGCGACGTGAACAGTGTTCACTTGTTATAAAA